GCCGTGCAGGCAAACTGGACCCTCTATGGCCGGCCAACTCCTCTGGCCAATGATTTCCCCCTTTGCCGATTTCTACTATTTATTCAGCCTGCAAAGGAGTCTGGTAGAGACTAGGTCCACTATAAAAACATGGAAATTAAGATTGTAAAAAGATGCACTCAATAAACTTTCTTATGAACAAATAATAAGGTTTATTTTGAAATTTCAACTTGTTCTGCAATGTAAGGCCATGTTGATTTGATTATATGGATGTCATCCGCGCGCGCATGAATTTTCGGCCGTTTCAAAAAAAAAAGTTTTCAACCATACTGTAAATCGTACAAAACAGTTGCAAAATGAGCCAAAATATACCGTAAGTTAAAAAAAAAAACATACCAATGTCGTAGAATGCCAAAATCAAACGAAAAAAGACGAAATTGTAAAGAAATAAACTTGAAGGCTAGATTATTCGCCAAATATATTCCGTCCCATTTGTTCAACCCTCATGACCACGTAGATTTCATAATGAAAACAACTTTTTTTTTTGCAAAACTTTTTTTTATTCGCACGCGCGCATCAATTTTGGGGTTCCCGGAGGATGTCATCCATATAATCAAATCAACATGGCCTAAGAAATGTTTACAAACCTACTGACGTGTTGGCACACGTAAGATATATTATCTGGATTAGCAGGAGAGTATTCTAACCTTTGACCTACAACAGAATCACCTCTGACCTTACGCCATACGAGCAAAGGTCAAACAAAGCTGCCCGAGTCAACTCCCTGTTTGCGTGAAGAGAAAAACCATCTTAGGAAGCAGGTGAGACTTAGAGGTGAGCAACCAAGTATTTTGATAAGCACATATGGTATGTGAGATCATATTTGAGTAAGAAAATCCACAGTAAGATTGTAAATTAAACGCCTTTTCTGGATGTGAACTTAGAAGAACTGAAGGGGGAGGGGGGCCAAACCAAACATACGTGTGACCCTCACGTAAACAAGGGCCTTGTTTTCGTTTCCTTTCAAACGAAAGCTCTTAGTGTATGGCAATGGCAGACTAGATTTCTGTTTTAGAAAAAGCTGGAGGGGGGGTGTACTTACCAGCTGTTTGCTTGTCCACAAGTGTGTCTCCAGGAATTTCAAGGGAAAACGGGCTTTGACAAGGAATGACTAAAGACTTCAGAATTATTATTATTTTGTTTTCTGACCTTTGGGCCGACATTTAATTAGGCCTTTGTAGCCTACCCCTGAAATTTTGCTGACGAATTCTTGACTGAAATTTATCCGTTTTTTCTGGAGGTCAATTGGGGTCATGGTACCTAAGCAGTCCTGAGGTTTTAACCTCAGTCATTGATCCTAATAGGGCTAGGAATTAATGGTGTCCCACTGGCCACTGACCACTGAAATTTAGGCCGGGACAACTAAAGTAAAAAGTCTCTTTGGGGCACATTTTAGGCAACAAAAAATAATCAACATCAGAATGTAAGCCTTTCTTTAGTTGATCAGGCACGCTTCCTGACTTTATAGCTCCGGATAAGCCCCCCAGATTTCTGCAAAGTTTATCCTGAAACTCTGCAAAAACATACTAGTGAGTAGTGTGCCAAGAAGTCAATGTTAAGCAAAATAAAGTTGACTGCAAGTTTTTCGCATACATACCCCCCCCCCCCAAAAAAGAAAAAACAAGTTGGACAATTCATCCTCAGTTTGGGACAATTACAATTTATTTTCGGGACAGTGCAGGGACACTAGGGAAAAAAAGTTAATTTTGAAGCCTGCCTAATTATTACAATAAGACATAAGACAGCACAACTTTGTCTTATGAACTTCATGTTACATGTATTAAACTATCATTTGTTTGTCTGTGACCCCTCCTACAGATCAGAAATGGAACAGTCCGGCTGTGAGCATTCTACTGGAGACCTGAGTGTCGGACACCCTGGGAAGGAGATGAACTGTACTGAAGACCCTGGGAATGAGACTGCCTGTACTGAACATCCTGGGAAGAAGAGTGACAGCAGAAAGACCCAGGCAACAGACATGGGCCAACAGCAGGAAACAAGTGATGTGAACTTTCCCCGACCTGTCAACAAGTCAACCTCACAGGTACTCAAGAGCAAAGGTGGTATGAGAAGGCACATGGTTACATACAAGGGTGAGAAACGATACATGTGTAAGGAGTGTGGGTACAGGACAACTGATAGATCGGCCTTATCCCGACATAGGAGAATCCATACAGGAAAAAAACCCTATAAGTGTGACCAGTGTGACTATTCTGCAGCATGGAAATCCAGTCTGGACAAGCATCTAGCAATGCACGCTGATGACAAACCCTACATGTGTGCGGAGTGTGGGTACAGGACAAATTACAAACATGTCTTATCCCACCATATGAAAACCCATACAGGAGAAAAACCCTACAAGTGTGACCAGTGTGACTATTCTGCAGCACAGATATCCACTATGAACCAACATCTAGCAATGCATGCTGGTGACAAACCCTACATGTGTGGGGAGTGTGGGTACAGAACAGCTCACAAGTCTCAACTAACCAAACATATAAGAACCCATACAGGAGAAAAACCCTACAAGTGTGACCAGTGTGACTATTCTGCTGCAAGTAAGTCTGGTTTGAACAAACATCTAACAACACACACTGGTGAGAAACCTTACCTGTGTGAGGAGTGTGGATACAGGGCAGCTCAAAAGTCAGACTTATCTAAACATATGAGAACCCATACAGGAGAAAAACCCTACAAGTGTGACCAGTGTGACTATTCTGCAGCACAGAAAACTACATTAGTTCAGCATAAAGCAAAACACTCTGGTAACAAACCCTACATGTGTGAGGAGTGTGGATTCAGGACCGTTAGAAAGGTCTATCTATCCCTGCATATGCGAACTCATACAGGTGAAAAACCCTACAAGTGTAACCAGTGTGACTATTCTGTAACAAAGAAATACCTTTTGGACAAACATGTCACAAAACACTGTTCCTAATTACTACTAATGTGAAAGTGTGGATACAGGAAAGCTCAGAAGTCCAACACGGCAAACTCTCCACTGTTGGGACTTTAAAGTCGGGCGATCCGACCCACGGTCGGGCCGATACCTCGGGCGATACGGAATACCCCGAAATGTTGTATTCTATATGTACAAACTAAGAATATTTTAACCTATGTGCAAACTAAGTACAATCTGTGTAAGAGTTGATTGTAAGATTTGATCCACTCTCACCAGGAAGGACCCGTACGTTTCCCAATAAGTGTCGTTGCCATGGATTCTTGAAAGAGCTAGAGGCGTGGCTCTACTGAAAATGGGACCTCTATATGGCTTACTTACCATGAAAAACAAACATTAACAGCGTAATCCATCCTCTACATTGTCCATGTATCTAGTACATAACTTCCAGATTCTGTGCGGCAAAACGTATAGAAAACACGATCAAAACAATGCTTGACCCCTTGCACAGATGAAGTAAACATATATCTTCTCAGTGCTCGAAAAACTGGGTGCATGTGCACCTTAGTGCACCCAAGTTTGTGCAACCAATTTTTTTCATGTTAAGATGTTAAATGTATAGTAGTATAGTATAGTAGACTGTTGAACGAAACGAAATGATTTTGCTCTTACTCTGTAAATTACTAAATGTCTAATTGTGAAATTTTTATATGAAATAGTTTAATGTAATTTTTATATGTTAAGTACAAATGTGAATGAGATTAGCAAAATTTGAATTTCACAAAGCTAAATGTACGTCATATCGTGTAAATATCTCCCAATGTGCAATTCTACTACGACAATTGGACTCCGAGATTTTGTAGTTGTTAACGTTTTTAAAATGATTGTACATCTTTGAACGCAATTCAGCTTTCTACTGCAATGTTTGTGATTTTAGCAATAAACCATTTTTGATTGATTGATTGATTGATTGATTGATAGTATACATTCTAAATATCTAAGTGTCAGAAAAATAATAAAATCATTGATATAGTACTTTTATAAATTAAATATAATTAGTTTTACTGACATTTTATTTAATATAAATTTATCTTATATGTTGTACCCAGAATTTTTTTTGTGCGCCCAATGTTTTAGGTTGGGTGCACCAGTGCACCTATTCCCAAAAATGAATTAGAAGTACTCATGAACGTACTTGCCCATACTTCAATCTCAATTTTTTATTTTTTTTCTTCACCAGGTAGCCACAAGACCACAAGGGTCTGATTCCCAAATATATTAGAAAGAAAACAGGGGGTAGACCAGGTCAAATTCCCGCCACAGCTGATGATGTTAACAAAACCTCAACTTTATGGTACTAGTATCCATCCGCCTGGTCAGACAAGACCTAACCACTCACATCTCTCATTACGCCCACTAAACTGGTGAAACTTGACCCTATTAAAGTTGCAAAGTTTGGACCCTACCTGTGCCTTCCAGCCCAAAAATCTCCAAATTAAAATAGAGCAAAACTTTCAAGAAAGCACTACAATCATTTTGAGGCCTCTACTGCGCAACGCAAATGTACAGACTTGAAAGGGTATTTTGGTCGACCATTTCTTCGTTTTCCTTCTACTGCAATTGTAGTGACTGTAGAATATCATTATATTACATAGCAGACAAACTTGCATTATCCGGCAAGCCGCCAGTAGCTACAAAATTCTGTATCTGGGTAATCAGGTTCATCAACTTTGACCTTTACCACTAGCCTGGTTTGACCTGTGATTACGCGTCCGCCATTTTGAGTAGCCGTGCGAGGTGGTGTCATAATTTTTCTCCCCAATCTGAGGCGATTTACAACTCACTTCGACTCTAAACCTACACTAGGCACATTTGAAAGACAGGTAAGATTTTGCTGTGTAACGCCTATACTCGCTGTGTCGCGGTACAGCAGCAAATAATTCAAATCATCTTACGTGAAAATCTTTGTGTAACGTTACATGGACGGGGAGGGGGGCACATCGAAATTAACGTTATATATTTTTTTTTATACTCCATATTTTTTTTTCAAATTTTATGTTTATGGGTATTCAAAACGTCAGAAATCTACGTTTCCATTTTGGAAAATTTATTTTTGTTCGACAGTAATAATATGAACTATGAAAACGTGTTTTCTATGTTATTTAGGGCTTGAAAATTTCATTTTTAGGAATATATAGGTGTACTGTTTCACCCAAGTAAAAGTTGGGAAAACGTTTGGAAATTGGGAAACCCTTTTGCAGGGACGACGTACTTTGCTTGGGGCCTGTTCACTAAACACTCATGCAGGGTAGTATATTGTAGGAGTGATCTACTGAACTATAATTCTGTAATTCTGCCAGTGATGCACGTAGAATATTTAAGTTAACTAATGTCCTTGAGTTAACTTTATACTAACGATATACAATATTATAACCAGTGTTCAGATGCAATGAAACTGATGACTATCAATGTTTTTTTCGTACACTGCTACTGGTCATGACATATGATATTTCATAACAACTATAGGAAAGTATATGTACTACCTTGTTACCTGTTAAGTCTAGACAGATACAGTGCAGTTCAGTAGGTCACTCCTACCCTCCCCTGAATGATTGTATAGTGAACGAGCCCCGAGGAGCTTCGGGGTTCACAGAATTTGAAATTTGGGGCATGTTTTCCCAGAGACTTGCGACCTCAAGTGTTATTTTCAACAAACTCATGACAAACAATGACAATGTTTCCCCAAAATGATGGCAGTGCCATGCAAACAATAACCATAACACGCCAAAAAGCAGTTACTCAAGCAACTAGATATGATTTTTGAAACGGTCTGTAAACTGGTGAGTAACTGCTTTTTGGTGTGTCGTATTACCTGGATGTCTAACCTTCATCGAAATTACCATAACAACAACCACCGTCGCCATGGCAATGTATGTTTTGGCGACATCTCAGGGAGGAGCCTAATGGTACAGTATTGTGTGCAGTTTGCAAGAATTCTAGGAATGGTACAGGCATTTTGTCCACAGGAATGGAATGTCCACAGGCATGTCTCTGACCCACATCTATGCCCACATTCCTGGAAACCCTTGGGAAGACCTGTCTGCCCCGGATAGCCCTACTTTCTGTGACCCCAGGGCTTGTTCACTATACACTAAGGGGAGGAGTGCACTGTATCTGTCTCGACTTAACAACAGGTACCAAGGCTTCCTCAAAATCATGAATTGATGGCAGTGCCATGCAAACAATAACCCTAACAGCAACCACCGTCGCCATGGCAATGTATGTTTTCATTGACAGTCTTGTCATACATTGTATGTCTTGTTGTATTACTATTAGGAAGTTATGGACCTGAGAGTGAGAACTTGTGAGATTCCTGTGGATGAGCTGCCAACTGTACAGCCTGGGAATGAGACAAGAAGCAGCGAGGTCCCGGCAACAGACACCGGAGGACAGCAGGACAAGGAAGAGGACATTCTATCGGAGGAAACATACAGGCTAAACTCTGTCCATCCTGCCATATACCTACAGAGTCAAACAGAGCAGACAAACAGGCCTGTGGTGAAAGGTATCTACAAACCCCACAAATGTAACCTGTGTAACTATTCTGCTGTATGGAAAGCCAGTTTAAACCTCCACATGAAAAAACACACTGGAGAAAAACCCTACATGTGTGGGGAATGTGGGTACCGGACAGCTCGTAAGGCTAGGCTAAATGAACATATAAGAAGACATACTGGTGAGAAACCCTACAAATGTGACATGTTATTTTGTGGCTATTCTGCTGCACGGAAAGTTGATATGGACAGACATGAGGCCAAACACACTGGAGAAAAACCCTACAAATGTGACCAGTGTGACTATTCTGCTGCAAGGAAAGTCGATATAGACCGACATGAAGCTAAACACACCAAACCCTACATGTGTGGAGAGTGTGGATACAGGACGGCTGACAGGTCTAACCTACTAAGACATATGAAAAATGTACATATTGGAGAAAGACCTTACAAATGTTACCGTTGCGATTATTCTGCGGCACAAAAAAGTACTTTAGATCAGCACATTGCTGCTGTACACATCCCAAAAAATCCCTACAACAAGTAACTTAAAAAAAAGAAATTGTAACACCAGCTCTGAACTGTCTTTTAGTTGAACATACAGGTAAAAAGTCTTGCAAACTAGAAAGGTAACATTTGCAAGCAAATGCATAATGTTTACCTTTGCATATGGTTTGCTCTTCTTACTCAAATACATGTACATGCATAAAAACTGTCAGACAGGAGTCTACATCTCTCCTATAAACTTGCAACATTATGTAACCCAACACCAGTTACCATGGTGACAGACATCAACAAATCAGGCCATTGGCCAGGTCAGAGGTTAGGGTTTGGAACAGATGAAGAAATGTAGTAAAAACAATATGTTTTCCTTCGGTAAACATAATTAAAGATAACAGATATGGCGTGTGGACAGCATGGAAAAATTAGACCTTACATGGTGGAACATTAAAACATGATAAAGTTTATGTTTCTTCGGATTGCAGAAACAGTACTTTTGACATCTTTTCTCTATCTAACCATAAGGGCAAGCAACATTTGAAAACCCTTTCAAGCATGATCATGAGCAGTGCCTTATTATAATTTTTGTCAATCTGACTGACATATATGATTATTAGGTCCAAATGGCTTTGATGTCACTGTACACATTGATGAGAGTTATGATACTTGCTCCTCTATATACATGTTCATAATGTTCTACATTAGGCCACACTGACTTAATTTTATGGATGACATCCAGCGCGCATTGATTTTCGCCTGTTCTCAAAAAAAAAAAAATCACGTCCAACGAGGCTCTGTCCTGGCTCTAGGCCTAGGTTAGTCTCCACCAGACTCCTTTGCAGGCTGAATAGATAGTAGAAATTGGCTAAGGGGGAAATCATTGGCCAGAGGAGTTGGCTGGCCATAGAGGGGCCAACTCCTCAATGGTATTTAGCGACAATATGGAGCCGGGCACCCAGGCCACGGTGCCCAGGCTACCAAAGCTCCACGACTCAAGATCTCAGTACAATGTACATAATATGTGCAGTGCCGCTTCATAAATTTTAAAAAAAGCCAGCATTTGCCGGCTTGTCGTATACGTCGCTGCCGCAAATTCATAATACAACCTTTGTATTCCTGTAGTTTAGTAGCATTTCTATTTTTGGCTGGATTTTTTTTATTCGCCCGCACACACTAGTTTTGGGGTCTTCAGAGGATGTCATCCATAAAATTAAGTCGGTGTGGCCTTACTCGTACATGTATTCTTCAGATAGGATACTGGAATACTGATGTTACATAAAACACTCAAGTCCTAAAATCCATGTCATTTTTTGTTTGAACCAATCTTTATGGTTGCATATATGTTCTATAGCTATTTCTATAGCTATAAGCACTTAGGCTTTTTATACTATAGTGAAAAAATAAATAAGGTACTGAAACCATTTCAAACATGCTGCATATACTTATTTGTATTCATTCAGCCCATGTTGTGAAAAGAGCTTACAGATACATACATGTATGCAAGCAAATATAATAATTCATCATCATCATTATAAATAAACAGTTATACAAATATCTTCCTCTTTTAGTTGGCATTTCTTTGACTATCCTACTTCAATTATAGTAAATGAAGAAGAAACTGCATATAGCAGACAAAATTGCAATATCCAACAAAGCATCCGTCTGTAGGGACTTCAAATCGTGTTGCGTTAATAATCTAAAGGTATACATACTAGTACTATAATTCACTCTATGTTGACGGTGGCAAAAGTTCACAGTCTGAGAAAAGTGAACATGTTTACGGAACTATATATTCAGTGTGGCGACAGGTGCGGGCGAGAGAAAGTCCAGGAATTATTTGTTAACTGTAATGATAAGTTCACGGTACAGAGGGGACAGCGAAAACAGTGAACTTAAGAGTACATTGAAAATCAGGAATTACTATTCAAGGTCGCAGAACACAGTACACTGAGTACAGTACAATGTATTACTCTACGTTGTGTGATACGGCGTAGAAAATAGTACAGCTAATATTCTGGCAGACTGGATGGAAATTAAATGCAAATTATGCAAATGAGGACTTGATTTGCATAATTAATGAGGAAATTCTATGATTACAGTGTTTTACATTATACTACTTTCATACATGTAATGTATGCAACCTATGGCAGGCAGAACATCAACAGATACTAATTATGCAAATGATGACCTAGTTTGCATAATTTATGCAAAAATTCTATGATTTCTTAATGGTGAATAATGGGAATGGCATACTTGGGACATCTGTAAGTTAATGAAAAGTTAACATACATCACGATGCATATATCATGTTAATGCGGAGGTAATTTGCATAATTAAAGAGGAAATTTACATTTACATATTAAGCCCATATTTCATGGAGGCATGAAATCTCGGAATTCTTGTTGTGAAGGTTTTTGCAGTTCGTGTATAGAGTATAGGTGAGTCGGCTGCAGTTCAGTTGACATCTGTAGAGGGCGTTTTTAAAGTGTGCGCCACGAGCAGATACAGAGGATTGTTTTTGTTTCTTGATATTTTGTACTTTGTACCATCTACTCAAACATATTCAATTTTTATGAAGCAAGTTTAAACTGTAATATCCGGCACAACAAATTGGACTCACCCAAATTTTCGACTGTACAACTCCAGTCTTTGTCAAGGAATAACACGTGACTCCGTGAGCAGTGGAACATAGGTTGCAGAAAGTCTGTGGCGGCCCCCGTCGACGTCTCTGCGTGACGTCACGGAAACAGTGGATTGCTAATTCCTTGACAAAGACTGGAGTTGTACAGTCAAAAATTTCTTGTGTTAGATATTACTTCATAATGATTTCTACCAACACAAATGAACTTTCAAGATAATATTCAATTTTCGTATTTGTGAAGTGCACCCGACTAAAATTTTTACCACTTCGAGTCATGTTGGGGTCCTTATCTATAGAAATCCCTATAGAGCGATAACTGTGCTCTGCTACCACATGAAAACATTTCCAACATCGGTACATATACTTAATTTAGTCTGGTCTGATTTATTCATAGAATAACCTAACATTTTCAACAGTAAGCATATTATGTACAGAATACATATACTTGGTATAGTGTAGTATAGTATAGTATAGTATAACGTAGTACGGTATAGTATAGATATTTTAGTACCATTTAGTACGATTTGTGATAAAATGGAAGGCCTTTTGTTTGTTTTTTTGACGTTCCATTTAGAACTGTCGGTTAACACAGGAATATCTTATCATTTTAAACATCGGTATATTTACTTGTTTATTTATGCTTTATTTGAACGATTAACGCAACATTTTCAACAGAAATAATTTTGTGTATAGCATACATGACTTAATTAAGTTATCCGTATACGTGGTATTCATCGTGTTTTAGCTCATAGCAACAGTTATTATACTAAAAATGTAGTAGGGCCACCAGTAAGTAAATTTTATAGATGACATCCTCTGCAGACTCCAAATCTAATGCGAGAGGGCGAAAAAAAACAAGGCGGGCCCAAAAAAACAAGATTCCTATATTTTGAAATTTTGACATCATGAACCCTGTTAAACAAGAAACGATAGCTATATAGTGCTAACTTTAATGCCACCTGTCACAGCATCCATTTAAAAAGGGAAAGTTTTCAATCATTGTACAAATGGTTTTGATTCCCTGGGAACGTATAAAAGGAATAAAATACATCACCGCATCAAAGTAAAAGTCAAAACAATAAATCAGAGCCTTGTCTTGTCTTGTCTCCTCTCTTCATGTTTATCTGCCATACACGTTCCAGCATGGCAAGGCATGTCATTTTGTCCATTTTCGGAATGTTGACCACTGTCAAAGGGCAACAAAATTTCTTGTTTTTTTTTCCAAAATCAGGCGAAAAATCAATGCGCGCGCGGATGTCATCCATAAAAATTACTTGCTGTGGTCTAGTACGTAACGTAAGCATGCCTGCTGCTTTTCACCAACGTCTGCGTTGTATAAATTTATGCAATAAAGCGGAATAAATGTATGCAATAAAGCGGAATATTTCAACAAAAGTAAAAACAAATCCTTCCTCTCGTACTTTTGTATTTTGTAAATTGTCTAGACTGTGCGACATTGATGTCCAAGTCCTAAGCAGTATTATGTGCTCCCTAATGTTTTTCTGATGTTGTCTGTTGAAAGAACAACATTCTTAAGCTTTAGATCCAAAGCTTAGCCTAAGTCCTGACTGTAAAGCTGGTGTGCGACACCCACGGGTGTTTATAATTTCTAGAACAATAAAAACTGAAGCAGACATTGAAAAACAATTACTGATGTAGAACGTTTTTTTTTTTACTTCTCCTTTTTTATTTTTTTAAATACTAATCCGATGAGGTACACTCGATAAAGTTACTCCAGCATGTCCTATCTTTTATAGCGGACACTAATGCAGTCCCTGCGAGACCAGCGTCTCTCTCTAACATGCATATGGACAAAAGTGTAGTATAAGGACGTCCCACTCTACGTCTCCCAGTAGGAATCCACTGTACTAGTACTAGTCTACCAGCTGGTTCGTTACTACGAACAAACAACATTTAGAGGCATGATGATGATGATGATGTTTTAAAACATGTTAACTAGAAAACATGTACAGTCATATCTTCAAATATCAGAGTTATCAGCCAAGAATCGAGGTGTTCAAAAACTCGTATTTCCCCAGAACTATCTTAGACTGGAACTCGTTGTCAGCAAGCACAGTTGAGCTTTAAAGCTTTAAACAACTCCTGAAATTAAATGTGTAAAGATTGAGTGTAACAAGCCGTTCGGTGTGATATAGCTAGCTGTCGCCGCGCCGCGTGCCTGTGAAGCTGGTGTGTTACGCCGAAGGGCGGTTATATCGGCTATACTGATACAAAAAATACATAGAAAATATATGTTAGAAAATATGTAGGGTGCAAATTTTAAAGATACGCTTTGAGCTAGGTAAATTTTAATAATCTCCCGTTGTGTGCTGCAGTCTGTTGGATGGAGACAAGTATAGCTTCCCAAAGAAAGGGAAAAAGAACAGCTCATATGCATGATTCCATGAAACCAAATTTGTACGATGTTTTGCGACGTAAAAAAATCATGATACTAAAACCTCACTGTTACGAATTGTACAGTCGTAACCTACTCTTGTGTTTGCGTCTTAAACACGCTGTTTTCTGGTCAGTACAAACACAGCTTATAGAGCAGTCCACGCAGCGTCGTCTTTGACGTTCATGTTGACCTTTGTTAATCTCCAAGCAGATCCCTCTCGGTGGCAAAAAGACAGTATCAAATTAGCCAGGCAGTATCCATTAGCCAGAGAAGGTCCGCGGCCACCGACGGGTGGGGGGTGGTGGGCAGGACAAACAACAACAACAACAACAAACGGCCATATATAAAAATCATTCCTCCACAACCTCTGCTTGGAGAGTAGACCTTTGTCACACCCACACAAATTAGTCTGCAATCTCCAGAAAAAATACCAAGGAAACAACATCGGATGGCGCTTTCCCTGCGAAATATGCACATATTCATTCATATTCACATGATATTATAATATTTGGATATTTAAATTAGAAGTTTAGCATGTGCAACCGCCAAATGTGTGTACGGTAAAGAGCAAGCAGAACCTGTCAGGGCTTCACTAGTGGGGTCCGGCAGGAAACAAAAAATATCTGTATCATCGGTATCGGTATAGCCGGTATAACCGCCCTTCTGCGTAACACACCAGCTTCACAGGCACGCGGCGCGGCGGCAGCTAGCTATATCACACCGAACGACTTGTTACACTCAATCTTTGCACATTTGATTGCAGGAGTTGTTTAAAGCTTTCTAGTGATGATGCCCCAACTGTGCTTGGTGGCAACGAGTTCCAGTCTACGATAGTTCTGGGGAAGTACGAGTTTTTAAATACCACAATTCTTGGTTGATAACTCTGATATTTGAAGGCATGGTTGTTTCTTGTTCTTTTCTGGGCACCCTTTTCAAGCCGCGGGCACCCTTACAAGATTCCGCCGACCGCCGAGGTAACTACAGCGGGCATTTCGGCAAACAGACATGTCACAAGTTTCAAGGAAACAACATCGGACGGCGCTTGCCCTATGAAATATGTACATATTCATTAACACGTCGACAGACATGAACATGATATTAAAATATTTGAATATTTAGAGAGATTTTGCTTTTTTAGACTGTTCTACCGCCGACTAGCCGTACAGTAAAGATGTACGAGCAAGCAGAGCCTGTCAGGACTCCGCAAGCGGGGTCCGGCGGGGAGCGGAATGTCAGGCCGCGGGCCGGCACCCTACCCAGATCCCCCCGACCGCCGAGGTAACACTAGTGGGCATGTCGGCCTTGGCAAACCGTGAAGCATGTCACAAGTATCAAGGAAACAACACCGCGCTTTCCCTGCAAAATATGTACATATTCATTAACATGTTGACAGACATGAACATAATATTGTAATATTTGAATATTTAGAGAGATTTAGCTTTTTTAAAGTGTTCTACCGCCGACCAGCCGTACAGTAAAGATGTACGAGCAAGCAGAGCCTGTCAGGACGCAGCAAGCGGGGTCCGGCAGGGAACGGAATGTCAGGCCGCGGGCACCCTACCAAGATCCCCCGACCGCCGAGGTAACACTAGCGGGCATGTCGGCCGTGGCAAACAGGCATGTCATAAGTATCAAGAAGAGGAGGACACGTCTTCGAACGTGTACGAAAAAGCTGAGACGGTGAAACTGGAGAATATCCCGAGAGACGCGCCTTATGGAACGGACACGTCTACAGGTAGAGTGCGCTTCTCAAGACTGTTTCTCATGAAATTTTCTTATTGGATGTTTCTATGGAATTGGGATCGATGAGTTAGAAAATTAAGAGAAGGAAGAACAAAATACTTATAGAATACTATACGGTGTATTTTGTATCGTCCGAGGTCCCAGCCCGACCGCGGATCGGATCGCCTGACAGCCGAAGGGAGATCCGATCCGCGGGAGGTCTGGGACCGTAGTACTTAGTATTTTATTCATGTCTCTCCACTTGAGTAGATGCGGAATACGCCAAAATTTGGTGCATCTAAACAAAAAGTGTAACAGCGTCAATTCCAACATCCGAATTCTATGTTCGACGTTTCGAAAGCGGCACTCTCGGTGCGCGAAACGCGTTCAAATTATTCTATGGAACATTTGAAAGCCCGGGTCGTACCGCTAGTTATCACACGGGCCGGAACGCCCGTACTGAACGTAGGTATGACGGCCCAGGTATGACATAAATAAAATCATGCTATAATAAGAATTGTCAGGATTGTGACATAACCCTACAAATGTATTAAAAACTGACAGTAACTTACAAGAACAGGAATATTTCAATATTTGGTGTAAAATGTTACACAATGCATGCCCCTTTATTGAAGCATTGTAATGAATTTGCGGTATCAAACATCTGTTTATTAGACGCGGACCCCAGTCCACCGGACGGTGCACGTGTAAAAGGCCGCCGTGTCTGCTGCATCGCCGCCGCCCTGGCTGTTGTTGCAACTCTGGCCACTGTGGGAATTATTCTACTGATCTTCATCAACGAAACCAACAACTACAAGAAACAAGAGGTGATTAATAATTTTTTCCTATGAATTCTTCGCGTTAGCTAATGTTTTAGAGGAACGAGTTTTATAAGTTTTGGTGATTGCACAGATTTTATGTACTTTATATGTTTGTGTCCCCCGGGACAGCTTGGTGAGTTCCTGGCAAGCTTTACATTTCTGGAATTCTCTCATAGGTGACAAAACCCCCACAATATACACTGTTTTTTGTATCGGTATATCCGGTATAACCGCCCTTCGGCGTAACACATCAGCTTCGCAGGCACGCGGCGCGGCGATAGCTAGCTATATCACACCGAATGACTTGTTACACTGACTTTTTGAACATTTAATTGCATGAGTTGTTTAAAGCTTTTTAGTGATGATGCCCGAATTGTGCTTGGTGGCAATGAGTTCCACTCTACGATCATAGTTTTTTTTTGAAATTGCGAGTTTTTGAACATCTCAATTCTTGGTTAATAACTCTGATATATGTAGGCATGACTGTTTCTTGTTCTTTTTGGGCTGGTATCGGATACTTTGTGGTTGGTATACGTACGTTCACTGGTTTATTAGTCATTATGTATATCATGCATGGTCTGGACATTTTTCGTCTGTCTTTCAGTGACACCCACTGTAGGTTTCTTTTTCATTTCCGTTACACAAGCACCCCTTTTATAGTTGTTCATGCAGAATATTGCGACCTGGTTCTGTACCCTTTTTAGTTTATCTTTATCTTTCTTTGTATGTTATATAGATCCCACATTGTCGAGGCATATTCCAGGTTTTGTCTCACAAGCGACGTGTAACTATGCAATTTTACTCTTGTTGGTTAATCACTCCCAATGTCTGTTTGGCCTTAGCAGTGATGTTGTTAACATGCGTGCCCCACTTCAGGCTACTTGTCAATGTAACACAGAGATACGGGTGGGTTTTCGTGCTTGCCAAGGCTTGACCACAGAACTGGTAACTAGTCATATGTGGGGTTCATTTGTTTGATATATGCATATTATAGCATTTTTCTGGGTTAAACTGTATGAGCCATTTGCTTTGCCATTCTTGCAGCGTGTTCAGAACTTTTTGTAGAAGTTGTGAGTCATTCTGTGTAGAGAGCTCTACATATAACAGGCAGTCATTGGCAAATAACCTCACCTTTGAGTCAAGCTGATCTGGTAGGTGTATAAACGAGATTTATATATTGTAGCAGGAATATATGGCGGTTAAGAACAAAGGGTTAATAAAAGTATAGTAATGTCCTACCCCGAGGTGTATATGGTAAGATAATCCCTGGTCAGGTGCACCAACCTTGTTTGACTTTGTCTAATTTTTTTTCTTTCATGGATTCTCCATTTTTCTTCACTTATTTGCATATAAGTGACTATTTTTTGCTTATAAACCTGCTTGTCTCAAAGTTCTCCAATGTCACTGACGAAAGACAGTGGATGCTACGTACCCGAAACGTCTGACCTATTCCAAAATAATATCCAGTTGCTTGTCGAATGAGTAACTGTTTTTTTGGCGTATGTTATTACCAGGATGTCTAACCTTCACGGACGTATGTAGCAGACTAATTTGATGGCTCAAAGTCCGACAAAAGAAAACTGAAACAAAACATCAAAAAGAAATTACTCAAAAGCCTAGGAAAGCAATACTCCGTTTCTTTTGATTGTGCTTAGTGACACCACATCCTTTGTTCTGATTGTCGAGTCGACCATTCCAAACGGTGTTGCTGTACGCCGAAAAAAAAAAAACAGTTACTCAAGCAACTGGATATGATTTTGGAAACGGCCAGACGTTTCAGGTAGTACCCTCTTCATTTCGTCAGTGACACTGGGGAGTTCGTGTTTATTTGTTTGTTTGTTTTATTTATATTCCAGGAAATAAATATAGACCTGTTAGTTTTGAATTCATAAAATTTCCCTCAGTGTCACTGACGAAAGTTTGTGGATGCCAATTGAAAAGTCTGACCGTTTTCAAAATTATGTCCATTTACGTTACCGTATGATCTTGGATTGCAGTTATATGTTTTTATCATCTATAACACCAAAATCATGCTCAACATTAACTCATTGGAACGTATACACATATCTATATTATTATCATTTTTATCTATATTGTATTTACGCATATTTTTCATTGTTAAAATGTTCTATGTATGAAATATGTGATCACAGTGCCCGCATTGTCTTGTTGTAGTCGAAAAAATATGTATAACTAGAATTCGGAGATCTCATACCTCCATGAAATATGATCTTGATATGTAAATGTAAATTTCTTCTTTAATTGTGCAAATGACCTCTGCATTAACCCTACCTAGACCGGGGGGGGGGGGCTAAAAGTGCCCGCGGCAACTTTGATGTCACCTAGCGTCTGAACGGCTAGCCGTAGAACGGCCAAACTTGGTGACTTTTCCTAGAATATTGTTGGTAATAATTCTCTATCATTGGAATAAGAAAATAATTTTTTGTGTTGCCATGGCAACGGGTTTCTGACAGGCATTTTTTGCTAAATCTAGTACTTTTTGTTTCAACAATAGAATTTTATGGGTTTTATGTCAAGTTACTCATGGTTTCTAATATAAATAACATCCCATATAAATTTATGTAAATTTTATCATTAAATATGCATAATTTATGCTAATTTGATGACGTCATTGGCCAAAATCCAAGATGGCGGACCATATCATTAGATCAGGTATATACAGGTTATTTTCATTAAAATTTCATCAATACTTCCATTTCTTTTTCCAAAAAAGGTTTAAATGAAGGTCTTTAGTATGTTAACAATGTATTTTAGGCTTTATCATGAAAAAAAAACTATTTTTGAAAATTCAAGATTGATGATCCAAGATGGCGGATATCTTAAATATGCATGACGTCATTTTATGATGTCACCGGTGTTGCTATGGGCAACATAAGACTTAGTACACGATAATATTCTGTCATAAACACTTTTGGTACAGTTATGTTGAATACCATTTAGTTTTCAGGGAAAAACCTATTTAGACGGTTTTGGCCAATAAAATCACATTTATGACGTCATAACGACGTCATATTACGTCACAACGACATAAAAATTGTAGATATGATAAATTTTCACTAGTACACCATTCTCTGAAAATTTGGTGGTCATACGACATACCGTTCGCGAGTTCTTAGGGGGGGGTCGAAAGAAGACCCCCCCGGTCCCCCCATGTCAAAAAAGCCGGTCTAGGTAGGGTTAACATGATATATGCATCGTGATGTATGTTAACTTTGATTAACTTACAGATGTCCAAAGTATGACATTCTCATCATTCACCATAACGGAAATTATAGAAATTTTCGCATTAATTATGCAATTAGGTCATCATTTGCATAATTAGTATCTGTGGAAGTTCCCCCTGCCATAGGTTACATACAAGTAGTATAATGTAAAACACTGTAATTATAGAATTTCCTCATTAATTATGCAAATAAAGTCCTCATTTGCATAATTTGCCTTTAATATGTACATCTCTCTCTCAGCTACCTACACACCAAAATTATGAAGACATTCTCATCATTCACCATTACGAAATCATAGAATTTTCGCATTAATTATACAAATTAGGTCATCATTTGCATAATTAGTATCTGTTGAAGGTCCGCCTGCCATAGGTTACATACATCACATGTATGTAAGTCGTATAATGTAAAACACTGTAATTATAGAATGTCCTCATTAATTATGCAAATAAAGTCCTCATTTGCATAATTTGCATTTAATTATGTACATCTCACTCTCAGCTACCTACACACCAAAAATAATGAAAATATGTCGTTCCTGTCTGGACTTATTGGCTTTTAAACATTTCGCCAGAAAGTGCCCTGCAGTTCCAGAACAAGCCGCTAGGGGGCCCAAACTCATATGACTTCTTCCCAAGCACGAGAGCTACCTTCCATCAAAATTTCATGACCCTAGCATGTCCAGATCGCGAGATATCAAAACCGGAAGTTGCGCTGCAGTACCAAGGGAAGCCACTAGGGGGACCAAAATCTAATCATTTCTAGTTTTCGTCACACCCTACCAACACACCAAGTATGAAACCAATCCATCCAGGCGTTCTTGAGTTATCTTGTTGACCAACAGACGGACAGACGGACAGACAGACGGACAGACGGACAGATAAACGCGACTGAAAATATAACCTCCATGACACATTTCATGGAGGTAATGAGCGTACAAAGACATATATCGGCCTTCAACAAATTAAAGTCCCCGGAGATATTTTTTTATTATTTACTTGTTTATCTATGTATTTATATTAGATTTTGGTTAGATAAGACAAGTAATGTCTTCATGCTCCTTCTACATGTTTGCCTGCGGACAAACGTTTTACCCCAGCTACTGCAGTTGAAGAAACAAAAATGCTTCCGTAAATGACGTTTTAGAATCCAGAGGTTTTAAATTCAGATGTTAGGTCAAAAATTGTATAACCCTACCAGTGGTTGATCGAAAAATGGAAAGGCCATGGTCTGTGTGTTTGCTAGAGTCGGTAGGGAAACAGGAAACACAACATTTTTGTATCCTATCTAAAGACCATGCAAATCAATAATGTAATAGTTTCAGTAATGCTGAGGTCACATTTCCAAACCGAGGCCCGGCCGGGCAGTCTTATGGAACGAAAAGTACGATAAAAAAAGACAACAAAACACAGCAATTTTTTTAAAATAGTAATCATAGGCACTATTTCTGTATATTTCTGATATGAATTGTTAGTTTTTCGTTCATACAAACAGCCCGCCCGAGCCCCGATTTGGAAATGTGACCTAGGCATAAGTAATATTGTTGGTTGTACAATTAGAATACGTTTGACTATAAAAAAACTATCCTTAATATCAGGGGACGGGGTACTGGTGACTGTGGATGTGAATCATATCGTAGGTTAACTTTGTCTCCTGAATAAAACTGGTTCTAGTGCTGTCTTCTCCTGACTACTTCAGAGTAATCTCCAGGCAGATTCTGTGGGGCAATGGGAGTTTATATTGGTCATCTGTATCCGTTGGCCCCATGCGGTAGCCAATGGTTACAGGCCTAGGAGGCCAATGGATACAGGCGACCAATCTCACTCACTCACTCTCTCCCATAGCTTAGTCAGCCGTCGGGGCAGCATGATGTTTGGCCAAGTTCTTCCACTGCTGGCGGTCCTCCGCCAGTCTGCCATCTGGCAGGCGACCAATGCAGACCCTCAATACCCACAGAGATTAATTGGAGATTAAATTCAGAGCAAGCATGTCTAAGTGTAATAAGTCGGATACGCAAATATGGAACTCCAACATATTTGGGAATTGAAATATAATAGATAATTGCACGGTATTAGAATTATTGATACATATAATTATGCATGCGTCTCGTTCTTTTTTTGAAATAAATGGTATATTTCATTTGTGCTATGATACCTAAATGCTAAATTCTTAAGCATGCAATAGCACAACACAAACAATAACGACTTCATTGGACAATAGCACCAAGCAGCATTTTATGAAATACGATCTAATCTTGTTTTTACCCTTGTTTAAATTCTTTAGGACATATCCAACATTCCAACTACAGTGGATGCCTTAAAGCCAGGATACGGACAAAACCAGACTGGAGCTATTGGAGGTATGTTGGTCTTGCTTATGGTTGCCTTAAGGTTGCTCTTCCATATTATAAGTGGTGCCTGCCTTAATTTGAAGTTGTCATGATTTGATTATGAATGGGGAGAGGCTTAAAAGAAACGAATGGTTTTCGTGAATAACCTGCTGCCCATATCATTATGTCAACTTATTAATCAGATTGCGGTGTTTTGAATACAGCTGTCCAGTGTCCCCTAATGTCGCCTCCCCTCAACGGCTTCATGACTGGACCCAACTCCTACGGAGACGTGGTGAACTTCACGTGTGAGCCTGGATACAACCTTGTTGGCACATCTTCACTGACTTGTCTGCCTGATGGAACTTGGAATGGAAACCTACCAACATGCACAGGTATTGTATTGCAAACATATACAAATATGTTTATTTATTTTCTAAATCAAACATACTGCATTCTATCGGACAAATAATCTTTTAACCATTGAAGGGCTGTACCTTTGAAACCGTAGGAGTTTAGTTTGCTAAGTAATATGTTATGATCCACGGTATCGAAAACTTTCGATAAATCGAGAAAAATACCAATACTGAATTCATTTTTATCCAAAGCTGAGGTAATTTTATTCACTAGTTGTAGTAGGGCCATATATGTTGAATGTTTTTTACGGAATCCATATTGGTGAGTGTATAAAATGCTGTTATTTTCAAGCATTCGTTTTCTAAATCAAAGAAAACAAAATATTTATTCCTATGGTATGATTTATTAAGATGTAAGCAGTTGCACACTAGCAAAACTACTTGGGCATCGTAAATGCTTTGCTGTTCATGTAATCTTGTTAATCAAATCGGAATGTTGTAAATACAGCTGCCCAGTGTCCCTTACTGTCGCCTCCTCTCAACGGCTTCATGACTGGATCCAACTCTTACGGAGACGTGGTCAACTTCACATGTGACCCAGGATACAACCTTGTTGGCACATCTTCACTGTCTTGTCTGTCTGATGGAACTTGGAATGGAAACCTACCATCATGCACAGGTATTGTATTCCGAAGATATATAACGCTACGTTCAGTTATTTTTTTAATTAAAAAGAATACATTATACCTATTATGTAATTTGTTAAAAAAGTGAGAAGGTACGTACTAGCGAACCTTCTTGGGCATCGATAATATTTTGCTATTCATGTTATCTTGTTAACCAAATCGTGATGTTTTAATACAGCTGTCCAGTGCCCCTTACCGTCGCCTCCTCTGAACGGCTTCATGACTGGCTCCAACTCCTATGGAGACGTGGTCAACTTCAAATGTAACCCAGGATACAACCTTGTTGGCACATCTTCACTGTCTTGTCTGTCTGATGGAACTTGGAATGGAAACCTACCATCATGCGCAGGTATTGCATTGCAAAGATAAATTATACAAATATATTCATTTATTAAAAAAAAACACACCAAAAAACACGATACCCAATGTATACTTTGTTAAAAAGTAAGAAAGAACGTACTAGCGAAACTGTTTTGGCATCGTAAATATTTTGCTGTTCATGTCATCCTGTTCATCAAATCTTAAAGTTTAATACAGCTGTCCAGTGTCTCTTACCGTCGCCTCCCCTCAATATTTTATGAAACAAGTTTGAGCTGCAATTTCCAACAACACGAAATTGGATTGTTCTTTACTTGACAAAAATTGGAGTTGTACAGTCGAAAAACACAGAAGAACGTTTAAGCTGATACAAATCTTTTGTTTTCATTTCAATTACATAATGACATGACTTGAGAGTTACCACAACCCTATTCGTCCACTCCAGATCACGTGCACCCCACATGGTTAGGCATCATGCCATGTCCTTCATTCCAAGATCTTTAAGACTGCTCTATGCTATTGACAACTAGCTCTCTATAGTTGTATTTGGGGGCTAATTTACTCCATTGGCCGGCCATTGTGGACTTAGTGCGTAGATCACCGTGTCAAAACTTCTCGTACTTTTAATCCTAGCACTGAGTTTGTTTGAGCTGACCTGTAACACACGCACATACATGTACGAATCTACTGCTATCACCAGAAACATTTTGTAAATAGGTTACCTGATATCCCTTTTTATCCCTTTTTATCTTATTTCTGATATGACTTTTAGAATAGTATTTTATCATGTATTATGAATTCTATACTCGGATTTTAAAGGCGGATCTGTAAGCAATGACGCAATTCAGGTGTTGATTTTATATTGTACCTGCTATGTCATTGGTAATAAAATCTGAATCTGACTCAGTACACTATGCTGTGTCTTCGCAGCCCTTCCTCCATCCCAAACGTGTTTTTTATGAATGTGAGCCATGAAATTCAAAACATTTTTTAAAATTAGATTATTATAAAGTTCACCTGTGTTGGTAGTAATCATAGTAAAACGTTGAACTTTATTCCAACACAAGGGGTACAGAGCGATCAAATTTTCGACGACCACTGTCGCCTTCATCAGGACGATTAAGATTTCGCGAGATCACATTGTGAAGTGATTGGTCATTAATTATCCTGATGAAGGCGACAGTGGTCGTCGAAAATTTGATTGCTCTGTAACCTTGTGTTGGAATAAAGTTCAACGTTTTACTACATTTTTTTTATTAATTATGTTTACCGAAGGAAAACATATTGTTTTTGCTCGGTTTCTTCCTCCTCCTCTTCTTCTTTTCCAAACAGTGACCTCTGACCTGACAAATGAGATAATTTGTTGACGTCTGTCACCATGGTGACTGTTGTTGGGTTACATAATGTTGCAATTTCATGGTCTGCTCTGTTCCTGTCACCATATACTAGTAGTACATGTATGTGAATGTATTTGAGTAAGAATTAACAGGGCAGACCATGTCCAAAGGTAAACATTATGCATTTGCTTTGCAAATGTCACTTTTTTTATTAATTCCTCTCCTTTTGAATTCCTTCTACCAGGAATTTGCCAGGAGGGAAATGGAGCATCCTACCGAGGGACAGCCTCTATAACTGTAACAGGCAAGACTTGTCAACGCTGGGACAGTCAGACACCCCATGGACACGGCTTCACACCTGATAATCACCCATCTGCCGGATTGGAGCATAACTACTGCCGGAATCCTGACCGCGGCTGGACCTGGCTTTGGTGCTACACTACAGATCCCATCACTAGATGGGAGAATTGTGACGTACCAGCATGTGGTAAGATTTAAGACCAAATGACACCCAAAAAATCTGTATAAGACGTACAAATGTTTGCATACAATATAGTTACTTGAAGTTGGTCTCAATAACATTGACTGAGAAATTGATTATGTATGGCCTTCTAAAAGTGACTTTTGGAAAACTCTCCAGCAAGCGTCCGAATCGCCCTCCTCGGGCATCTCTATTTGCATCTTTGTGGTTTATTTTTACGTTTCTGTGCTTTTTTCTGAGCTGACATCACGGGGTGACATCAGCTCAGGAAAATTATAGAAATGCAAAAATAAAATGTAGAGATAGTAACTATCTGCCAGGACTGGCTTGTGCTGACGTTTCCAAGTCAGGGCTTTAAAATTTCGAATCTAACAGGAGTATACTTATCCTTCCAAGTTGTCACTGATGAAAGAATTCACTAGTAACAGTATCTATACGTGACAAATGAATCTCTTCAACGAACTTCCAACATTTCATACACAGATCTTGACACAAAAACAGCCTGCGAGGGTCGCACCGCACAGCTGTCTTGCTCGGACAGAAAGACGCTTTTGATCGTGGCCGCCAACTACGGCCGCACGTCCGCCACCCACCCCTGTTTCTGCGGCTCCAACTTTTGCACCAACTGCCGCTCAGACAACAGCCTGTCTGTCGTGAGGGCCGCCTGTCAGGGCAATCAGCAGTGCACGGTGACAGCGAGCAATGGCGTTTTCGGTGACCCCTGTCACGGGGTAGGGAAGTACTTGGAGGTATCATACCGCTGTATCACAGGTAGGCACATCATGAAACTAACATAATAATTGTGCCTAACATAATAATGAACTACTAACATAATAATGAACTTAACAAAACCTATATATAACAAAACTGATTCAAATCGGTGCAAACGCAATGCTTAAGTGACAAAAATATAAAAGTACTTGAGACTTGAAAGTAATATTATGCTAGAAATCAATACAAAAATTTACAAAGGCAAAAAGTATATGCTATTGTTATATTAGGCACATATTAATATCATTAAAATGTAATTATTTGTATTGATTTCTAGCATAATATTACTTTCATGTCTCACGTACTTTTATATTTTTATCACTTTAGCATTGCGTTTGCCTTTACACCGATTTGAGTCAGTTGTGTTATATATAGGTTTTGTTTAGTTCATTATTATGTTAGTTTCATGATTAATATTTTTAAGGTTTCAAGGAGGAGGACATTGTACAAGCTTTCGATGCTTCTTTCCTCCTCCCACACACTTTTTCTCTTTTTTTCTCATATCTGTTGATTAATGTTTGTCTTTTTACTGTGAAAATTAATACATTAATCATCATCATCATCAATCCAGGGTAATGTCACTCCTCTGGAGGAACCCCTCCCTTGACTCATTCCACTCTCTTCTCAGTCTGGCGTATCTGGGCCAAGCAGGGCCCAGGTGTTGCACAAGACTGTCCCTCCACCTCGTACAGGGCCGTCCTCTGCGTCTCCTCCATTCCCGGGGTGTCCACTCAGTGGCTCTTAGTGTCCATCTGTTGTCTTGTAGTCTAGCTACATGTCCTGCCCAGCGATGTTTTGCTGTGTTGACAGCAGAGATGATGTCGGTTACTCCTGTCTGGAGTCGGATCCAGGAGTTTCTTTTCCTGTCTCGCAGTGTTATACCAAGCATGATCCTCTCCATCTTACGCTGCGCAACCCGGAGCATCTCCATCTGGGTGCTGGTTAGTGCCCATGTCTCACTACCGTATGTCATCACTGGGAGTATATACTGGTTAAAAACATTTCTCTTGAGTCTTACACTGGCTTTCTTACTTCTCATGATAGCAAACCAGATACAAACGGGGTTATCGACATTAATAAATGAAAATAAATAAATGAAAAAAATTGTCTTTACAAAAAAAAAACACACAAAATGTCCATCGCTTTTGCGTAGGAACCCCCACAAGGTCCATTTTCGAAATTGACCATTGTCTTTACAACAATAACCTGTCTACCAAAATCATTAACATCCATGACTTCAAGAGCTATGCCGCATAAGTCCACCATAGCCAAACTAAAAATATAAACTTCTAGCGAAGGTAAAAAAAATCAATTCGGAAATGATCGAGTTATGATGTTGTTTGACCTACATACGGACCCACACCACAGCTGTCCAACCAGGCCCAAAACATACCATTCTGACGAAGGCAAAGGTCTAGATGCCCTGTGGTCATTTTGCACTCGTGTTTCCCTGCAGAAAGTAACGTTGCCCTTGGCAAGACAGCAAGTTCTAGTTCCGCTCCAGCATCCTGGGGACCAGAGAAGGCTGTAGACGGTTTCAGTGGCACGACGGTATCCGGGGGCGACGAGTGCACTCACACCGATAATGTGTACCAACCGTGGTGGAAGGTGGACCTGGAAGATATCTACACTGTCAACCGGGTCAGTGTCCTGAACAGGGGAGACTGCTGCGGTAAGTTTACATGTATATAATCAGCTACCAAACTTTACGTTTTAGATAATAACGGTTTTTCATCCAGGAATACGACAAATTTTATAACTTGGTTTAATCAATACAACTGGAAACAATACAGAGTGAAATAGGGTCATCAATAGTTTTTTGTTTACCACTAATGAAGATCGCTGGATCTATGTATAAAACTCTATGTAATTTACACACACACAGAATCCATAATACATGTATTAGGCAGTTACAAAGTTTTTAATACCTTCCAGCAATTGGCGATAAGTAGACTTTTGATGCTATGACTTATTAATAATATTGACTACAATGACGGGGATTATTTTCTCTGACACTAGATGGTTTGTTACGCACGGTGGCCACTTTCTCCAACGTCTACCCAACCCAAACGACAAAATACTTTGGACAGACGACGTATTCACAGAAATATGCTCCAGTAGTGAAGTGTATATTTCCAAGCTATGAATGTTTTTTTTTATTATTGATTTGCCTTGTATATACACAGGAGAGCGACTGAGAAACTTCATGGTGCGAATTGGCCTTAACGAGGACTTCACCCGGAATGACCAGTTTCGGGAGACTTACACGGCAACCCCGCCCAATGGAGCGACAGTCGTGGTGTACTGCGACAAGCCGATGGCCGGCCGGTACGTCTCCATTCAGCTGATCGGACGGTCGGACCATCTGCAACTCTGCGAGGTGGATGTCTTCGCCGAAACAGGTAAGACCTTCAAGTATAAAGCTAAAACTTTTGTTCCAACACATGGACATGTCCTTTTCTACAGCTTTCAACCAGTCACTCTTGTATTTCTCAATTGAATGACCCAGTCTGACTTCTCAGGTGGTTTTTCTGAAGTTTGACGTTAACACGAGGGGTCAAAGGTATCCGGCAAACGATGACGGCCTCCGTCCCGGTTTAGTAATGGGTGATAGCCACTGATGTAGATAGTCACTTTCAATCTTCAATCCTCCCAGCAAGTAGTCTTGTTTGGTTCTGAGAAACAAAAGGGGTGTTCAATTTGTAGGCGAAAACAGTGTTGGCGAACAACACAAGTAGTGTGGCACAATACTTAAAATCTGTAGATATTCTTATGTGTACAGCCGCGAGGCTAAATCTGTGCTAAATGGTGGATTGATGGTAATGCGCTAGGTAATCTAAATTATCTTTGTCCAGCCGGTGCAGATTGGCTCCTGGATACTGATACTGCAAAGTACTGTGCGTTGACTGAGGTTTCTATGACTTTATATAGTGCCATAGAAAAGTTTGTGTTATGTTTAGGTCACATTTCCAAACCGGGGCTCGGCCGGGCAGTTGGTATGAACGAAAAATTAACAATCCATATCAAGAGTATATAGATATAGTGCCCATGATTATTATAAAAACGTTTCTGTGTTTTGTTGTCTTTTATATCATACTTTTCGTTCCCGAAAGCTGCCCGACCGGGCCCCGGTTTGAAAATGTGACCTCAGCATTACGAGGAAGCGAGTCGCAAAACTTGAACTTATTTCCACTATCATTAACCCAACCAAGTTTTTTTTTAGCTTGCGTTTGCACCCTATTATAGATTTTGTATCGTTTGGGTTTCTTAACCAAGTACATCAATATAGGCTCTGCTATCTTCTACTATCTTCTATTACCTTGACAAGGCTTTGCCAAGAGTGACATGAATACACATTTTGCGTATTCATGACTAAATGATATTAAAAAAAAGTTTGGTTGTGACAAAATTTCTATATCAGCCGTAAAGGTCTTACGTTTTATATCAACCTTCACCACATACTCGTACAAAGTATCGATATCGCTCAAGGGATATGGATTAAGTGATTCAGGACCAGTGAGTCTCCTGAATGAGTTCGGAGCTGTCAAGAAAGACAAAAAATGCAGTGTTCCCTATTAAATTGCAAAAATATCCGTTGCTCACTTTCTTTGTTTCTTTGCTTTTTTTCTTCTTGTTATTGCCTTTCTTAGCCGATGCCTTTCTTAGACGATGTCCTTCTGGTTGGCATACGTACGGAAACCGCTGCTACAAATTGGTGGAAAGGAATGCCAATTGGTACACTGCAAAGAGCCGATGTGAACAGTACGGCGCACATCTTTTGTCCATCACAAGCTCTCACGAGAGCAATTTCATCGAAGGTCTCATCTCCAACGGTAGGTACAACGCAGAATATTTTCATTCACAATAACAAGGTCTGCAGAGGATTTGTAAACTTTACGAATTGACAATGTGAATTAGATTCAAATTAAAATAAATCTATTTTATGTCAAGTATAGCACGTAAGCTACCTACACACCAAACATTCCAACTGGTTCTTCAATTATCCTCCTTAAACGAGTCTTAAGATAAAGAACCGCCCCTGCAGTTCCAGAACAAAAGGCATCTTTTTCCATGCACAAGAGCTAGTATCTACGATACAAAATTCATGACGCTAGCCAGTCCAGATCACGATATATTGAAATCGGACGTGCCACCGCATTACCGCAAAAAGCCGCCAGGGTGTCAAAACTGTAATAATCTTATGTCATCATCTAACACCTACCCACGTACAGGCTGTTAAGACAATCCAACCATGCATGCCAAAGTTATCTTGTCGCCACACAGACAGATAGATACATACACTCACGCACACACACACACACGCTCCTCTAAACATAACCTTATTGACGAAGGTAATTGTTAAATTGGGCATGGAAATAAACATTTAAATCGTAAAATTCCATCTGTGTTGGTACAAGTCGTTGTGAAATGAAGACTAAACTCTCCTTCCAACACTGGAATAAATTGAGACTTACCCCACATTTTCGGCTGACTTCTTTAACCTTGTTCATGGAATGGCCCCGACTCTTGAAACGTGACGTCAGGGACACGTGACCGTAGTAGCGGGTCATACGTGCCAGATAACTTATGATGCCCCCGCCTTCACATCAAGTGTCAAGGTCAAACCAGAAAGCATGTAAGAAGGCATATATAGGTAATACAGAACGAGCACTGAAAACAAGATTCCTGGAACACCAACATCCTACCTCTGTAAACTCAGGGGTCTCGAAAAACGTTCATATTCTCAACCAGACTTTTTACAAGAGGAGTGAAGTAGGAGGTCTACATTAGAGCTCACAGACCTACCCTGAACAAAAACTGGGGCGACACAAGTTATCTGGCACGTCTGCCTGCAATGCCTCTTTATCCGAACAACATGTATATATGTATGTGTGTGTATGTATGTATGTATGTATGTATGTATGTATGTATGTGAATCAATTCTTAAAGCCCCTAACACACAATTAGGACCTTTACCAGAATTTGTTCCCGAACCAGGCTCAAAGGACTTTTTTCTTTGATTACAGTCCGTAAAGCAACAGTCTGGATGGGACTTAAGAAAGACAGAAGGTGGTACTGGGTAGATGGATCTGGACTAACCTATGAGAACTGGTTTCCTGGTGAACCCAACAACGAAAGTTTTATGGAGCTCTTTGAAAAAGATGTGACTTGTGCTACCATCTACACCAAGGTCTGTTCCTCTATTTTGTCTTCCTGGTTGGAGCCCAGCACTGTGTATATTTTTTGTTCGTAAAGTTGCTTTCGGAAATTTCAGGTGATTTTACATATGTAATTGAGGATAAGACGAACATATGAAGATATAAACTATGTAAATGAAGACCTATTTTGCATAATTAATGTAAAATTACTATAATTTCATAGTGATATATACCTAGCAGGTCATACCTGCCGCGTTTGGAAGTTGAGTGAAGATGACCATCAAAAAACATACTAGTAATTTATTAAAATCATGACCGCAATTGAATAATTATAAAGAATTGGTAGAATAACTTTCTCTGTTAAGAGGCTGTCATTGGGTAGAGAATATGATTAACTGATATAAACCATGATGGGAATAAAATAATAATCTTATCAATGAGAAGAATGTATAATTTCGTCAGTCCGAATGTTTACATTCAATTTGATGGAGGAATGAAATTAATGGAACTCTCGTTCGTAAATGTGAAATTCCAGCTATATCATTCTGAAACTAAGCGATTTAATAACTGCAATAATTATATATTCGAAATATATATATTTCTGTATTAATTTATAATATCTTAATAGTTAAACTCTGTTTTCTTGTTACCTTGACGTTTTCCATGTTTTGTTTTGTGATGTAATTTTTATTTTATTTCTAGTGGTGAGGTGAATATAAGCATATTGCTCGAGTGCGTCACCCCTATTGCTTGCACGTTAAAGTAAAAGGAAATGTGGGATTAATGATATAATCAATACTACTCATGCTACTCGTGTATTTTTCTTGTTCTAATCCTAATAAATCATTTCATATTCCAACAGACTACAAAGACGTTTTTCAGAGAAACCATTCGGGGGCAGTGGACGGACCAAACGTGTGCCTGTGAATATCCTTTCATTTGCAAGATTAAGGTTAATCTTTAAATCACTTGGAGTGCTACCCCAAACATAAAGTGCCAGGGGATCTTCAGATGACATAAAGACTTGTACACTCATTAAAAGCTCATTTCGGACCAGAAGTTTCAATATAAATTTCTCTGCAAATAAACTGGTTCTGAAACAGGTTTAAACTGTTTTCCAAAACATGCATATTTAAACCAAAATTTTAGACGTCCACTTCTACTTAGAACCTAAGGAATCCTTACTCCCATGAGAGACCCGGGTATACAAATACACATTAGAATTTTCAGCAGTAAAGGTCTCTTTAGACATCTGAATTTAGAAATAATCATAACTTTATAGCACAACAGATATACATGGAACAAAGTATTGCTAACCTGCCTTAAACAAGATTCTGTAAATTTGGGAAGGCAAAAAGCTTTTACAATCCATCTACAGAAGCTCACTTTTTTTTTGTAAGATCTTGTCAATTATATGAGAGGTCTGAGTCTAAAAATGCTCAAATGGCCACCTGCGTGTGCATAGTAAGAAGTCCAAGGTCATGTGAGGGTTCAGAGTCGGGAAATAAAGCTATGGTTGTCAGTCATGCATGTATGGATCTAGAAATGCTCCCGTGGTTTCTTACTTATACTTAGTAACGTCTTCTTAGTCATTGGGGAATTATGTGTAGAAATGCACTTAAATGGTTATTAACTTGTAAGTTTACTCATTTTAATATTTTGAGTAGTCATCAAAGAATTAGACTCAGTCTTCAACTGGATTTATGTCTACAAGTTCCTACTTATATTTTTGCTTTGTACACTGTTAGTTCTACCTGACTATTGTTTAGAGGTCGTAGTATTAAAACGCCTCTTGATTACTTACTTGTACTTATTATGGTAGACCTAATGCTAAAATCCATGCATGGCTATCCGTATTTGACATAAGTTATTATATTGGCCATTTTGAGGGACAGATTCTACAGATTAACTCATGATCACTTATTTGCATTTGGCTCACTTGTCATAGAATGAATGGATATAATAAATGACACGTGGTTCCTTCTGTAATTAAGCTTTTTCTGGTAAATATTGTAGAAAGTACTTTATCCTGGAGATGCTGTTTGTTTTACGACATTTTTCTAGTTTTCTAGGTTTCCAAGGAATGAAAAAGTGTTCTATGTAATTTATAGCCACCCTTGCTGAATTTTACAGTCATGGCTGTAACCTACGTAACTTTTTTTTTTGTTTTTATGCCAACATGTAATCACCAGACGTGGTGACGGCACACTCAAGTTTTATCAACTTATATTTATGACGTTACCAACACTTTTGTTTGTAACTTTACGCTGGGATGCTACTTCGTGGTGCGGCTATATCGGCTATACCGATACAGATTCTTTCAATGTTAGTAGTAACCTTATCTGCTTGAAGTAAAGTTGATCAGTTTTAAATGTTCGTACTAATGCTCCCCTGAGTGCAATGTTGTAACCTTTGTAACCGGTATTCTGTACATTTCAATGAAGAGACAAGAGGTGGTTGCATTGGGAGGAGAATAGCGGTTATTCAGGCTGAGGTAAGAATGGTTGGCATTGCATCTGTATGTACACGTTTCTTTCAATAAACTATATAGACACTGACGTGTTATATCACTTTTTTCATTAACACATTAATCTGTATATATCGCTGCTTTGTTTGTTTATTTAGATCTCCATTAGTATGGACGTCAACTCCATACTATTCTTCCTGGAGTCCACAGCATAAAGTGAAATAATAATAATAATAATTGCTTTTAGCAATAATAATAAATAAAACATACAAATCATACTGAAATTATAACAAACTTGAAACAGAATCAATCATAGAGAAAGAAGTGAATTGGAGATCAGAGGTCAAATAATAGAAATAATATTTATGAAATGAAAGTAATAATTAATGTACTTTCCAATAAATACAAAATTGAAGTACCAAAACAGTAAACAAATATTTGAACTGCTATAAATAATAACAAAAAATATGAATAACAAATGAATCAATATACACTCAACAAATATGATTCCTTTCAATTGCTGCTATTACAACAATACCATTCAATACCATAAAGAAAATTTTAAGAAATCTGAAATAGTATATATAGATTATTGTGTAATTTTCTGATGCAACATAGCACAACATGAGATAACACACCCATGTACCCCGCTGCAGTAACGTTAACTTACAAAGCCGCACAAGATTTAAAATATGTTTGAGTTAAAACTTTTGGTCCAACACAAAAAAAAGTTCTAAAAATTGACCTTCACCTTAGTCGTCCCAACCACACCCAAACTACCTACAAAATACCATAAGGATACACCACACCCCAAGTTATAATCAGAAAACAGGGAACCCCTATACATGAAAGACATGATGGAACACATAACCTTCACAACGGAGGTAATAAATCGCGTATGTGTGATCGGTCATTGACCTTTGCCCCCACCTTGTACCCGCTGTCAAGCCAAATACATGATCCTGTCAAATACATGACTTCGACACTACTTGGGGGTTTCCAATATACCTGAGACAAGGGGGTGGGAGGGGGTTAGTCGTTATGTGGGAGACAAAACCCAACCTAACCTAACCTAACCCCAATCGTAAGTCTAAATCTAGTCCTGAACAATGATCCCAACTCTAACCCTAACCCTAACACCAACCCTAACGCTAGCCCTAACCCTAACCCTAACCCTAACTAATGTGGCAGCTCAAGGATTTGGCCCAACAACGTACGTATGCTGACTCGAGCTGACCAGAGTCAGACTGTGTTGGCGTTCCTTAGGATTCAAAGTCTCTCGTTAGCTCATGCTGAAGGACAGTTGCATCAGGTAGGGTTATATAATCATATGGGTCTGTTATGTTACGCTATTGATACACGACATAACCCTAAGCATCACTGATGGACACAGTGGCATTGCAAGTTAATCTATAATAAATGTTAAAGGCTACGCATTTGGGACTTCTGAATAGTTATAATAAAATAGTATAAGATCATTATAGTGCTGACGTTTTAAATACTTAGTCTGAAATCTTCTACACTTTACAGAACTGTGGTCGTGCGTACCAGTTTAATCCTTCTTTGTACTATACAATAAGAGCTCATTTATTCCAAAATTCTCTTAATATCAGTTATTCCAAAATTCTCTTAATTTCAGTTATTCCAAAATCATCTTGTATTGTGTAGGTCGCTGATAACGTTACATGTAATCACTAATCTATTCGCTGTTTTCTAATCGACCGCCCCTCCTTTGTCATGATGTAGAATAAACACAAAAGGCAATACTTTGTTTTCCAGAAATTTAATATTTTAAAAGACTCCCGCTCTACTGAGCTTGTTTTACATCATATGGCTGTTCTTATAGGTTCCGTTCTTGATTCACGTACTTTAAATTGTGCTTTAGGTGTATTTATTTATTTGTCCATGTAATTACCATATCTCTGTTTAATCATTTTGTGTAGATGGCGCCGTTAATATAAGTTCCATGGAACTTGAGTGCGACGTCATCTCGTTTGTATTTATGTTTTTGCTGTTTTAATAAATGTGTGATTTGGTAGAGACAGACATGGGTATATATTATGTGAGCTCAATAGGGGACCAACTGTGCACACAGGGTATACAGCTCTGTTTATTCAGCGTGACGGTGAAAAGGTCAGAGCTGTCATCTACCGAGTTTCGTGGTGTGGTGTTCAATTTATACACTAATGGTTGGGCCACAGCAAGTAAATTTTATGCATGCTAGAATTCAAATCTAATGCGACAGGGCGTAATAAACAAGACGGGCAAAAAACAAAAACAAGATCATCCCTTCATTTTCAAAATTTGGGGTCATAAGCCTTAAAAGACGAGAAACGAGAATTGAGGTGATGACAAAACATGATATTACAACCAACAGGTCTTTGGATCAGGCTTCTAGAACATAGACGACCCAGTTCTGTTGCATCTGGGGTGTCACAGCACATCCACATAGAATCACCAGGACACATGGTGGATCTGGATGGGGTCAGAATCTTGGATATCGAACATGATTACTTCAAGAGAGGCATAAAGCAGGCCATATACATCAGGATACTTCAACCATCGCTTAACCGGGACGGGGGGCGATATCGACTTCAGACAACCTTTGACCCTTTGCTGACGTCACACGTGGGAAAAATCACGTGTCCACAGCATTTGGGTCAGATAGCTGAGGAAGACTGAGTGATTCAGTCAAAAAAATTCTGGTGAGCCAAATTTTGAGTTGGAGAACAGTTTAAGTTTTTCAAAACATATATGCTCATTTTCGGCATATATATTTTTTTCATAAGTAGGCGACAATTAATGCGCGCGTTGATGTCATCCGTAAAAATTACTTGCTGTGACCTTTGGTGTTTGGTCCAGGACTGAGAGGTACTATATGTAGGTTGAGTTCCATAGAACTCAA